GGCTCTGGGATTGACTGCCCCAGGAGTTTATAAACCAAAGCCTCTCCCAACCCTTCCCGTCCGGGCCCAGCCGCCATCACCACGTGCTGCCCGAGCCCTGCCCGCAGCGCCCCCTGCTGGCCCGGAGGAATCACGTGCCCGGGGAGCAGCAGCGCCCCCTGCCGGCCGTGGCGGAGCACGGGAGGGTCCCTGGGCTCCTGCTCTGGTCGGTGTCAGCGCTGTGGCTGTTGGTGTTTGTTTGCCTTGTTATATACACTGGTAAAGAACTCGTATTCCTATTCTCATCTCTTTGCCTGAGAGCCCCTTAATTTCAAAATTACAATAATTCTGAGGGAAGGGATTTACATTTTCCATTCCAAGGGAGGCTCTTACCTTCCTTAGCAGACAGCTCTCTTTAAAACCAAGACAGCATTGATCCATAATACAGTTTGTGTATATTATTGCCAGCACTTTCCTTGGGAAAAAGTATGGAAGTGAATTTAAACCTGCTTAATGGAGAACTGAGTTTTTAAAAAGCTCTGCTTTTGTTTTTTTCATGTAAGATTGTTTCATTTTTTTCATACAGCATGTCACACCCTGACCTAAATACCTGAATTTCTTGTTATATTCAGTGATACAGGATGCTGTTTCCTTTGGTATTGTGTGCAGTTATGCTGATAGGGAGCTGTAAAGTGCAAGAAGATGAATGGATTGACCCCACGGATATGCTCAATTATGATGCAGCATCAGGAACAATGAGAAGACCTTATAAGGTAGAAAAGAAAGGGTGTGTGTCTCTCCCATAAAGATAAATGCTGTTGGAAGATTGATTTTAAATGGTGACAGTAGATAATGATAGCACTATGGTGTTTTTAAGGGCTTATTATGTATTTTATATTTGAATCCATACATAGAAAAGTCTTTGTGTCAATGGTTAAAATTGCAAGGAAGAAATAATGTAATTAGTTCAGGACCTTTTCCTGGTGAGCTTCTGTTGCACTTAGATCAAGTCATATCAAGCAGGCTATTTGTATTTTCACAAGTAATGCTTGATTTATGCAGGTTGTGGCACCACAGGTTACTGCTCTGAGAAGTACTGGGTTAAGCAACTCTTGCTAGTTTCTCAAGTATAGCATTAAATATCTTGAAAATCAGGTTCCTAACTGATAAAAGCTGGGGGAGTTAAAGTTATTGTATTTTATTTTAATTAACCAGTTTCCCATTTCTCATCTGGGACTATTGTGAAAGTCAATGGTGTTTTGTAATGCTGGGCCTCAGTTTCAGAAGGAAGATCAGAATAGGGATTGAGTGCTGTACTATTTAATGATTCATTAACATTGAAGAGAAGATGAAGTGGGGAAAAATTGGTTTTAACAAGATGAATTGTCTGTCTTGTATGAGCAGTGGACTCTAAATAGCATGAGGTGCATGTTGGTTATGTTGTGCATGTGTGCACACATGGCACTGTAAACTGGAGGTGGTTGTAGGGGAATCCTTGACTTTTGCCATTAATCAGTTTTCAAGTTTGGTTTTACAGTCTTGAGCAATACTGTTTAAACACTACAGGACATAATTTTCTGAAGCTTAAAAGATGCAGAGTGATAGTCATTAGCATCCTTAAGATCCAGCAGCAAGCATTGAAGTCTTGAAGCCTGGAGCCCAACTGCATTGGCTTTTATAAAAAAAGTAGTAGCTTTATTGTCTCCTGCAAAAATAGAACTACAACTTAAATGACAAAAAATACTATTTTGTGTTAGTCCCTCTTCTCAGGATTTCTTGTCTGCTCTGCAGAGAGTTTTTAGGTGGACAGGCTGTGTGGGCCGCTCAAGCTCCCAAAACCAAACTTTGTTTCAGCATGAGTTCACAGATTTGTGTGCTGTTGTGCTTCCTCTTGGAGA